TATATGAATATTATTATAATTAATTTCAAAATCTTATTTCAAATCCATCTGGATCCTTAATCCATTTATAACTTTCCAAAATCAATACTCTAATCACCCTTTTGCTGTTTAATCCAGATTTTAAAAAAGTTTTTAAGACCTTAAATTTGTATTTAAAACTTCTTTCGCTAAGGATTGAAGGAAACTCACCCAGTGAATGCCATAGAACTTGCCGTTCTAAAGGGTATCAATATTTAAAAGGCAGTAAAAAAGCAATTCCAAGAGCGATTAAGAAGGCTGAACCTTATGTCCACAGAAGCTACATTACAACTGTGAGCTTAGATGGAATCCTTTGACACCCAGCTACTCAGCTCACAAGCTGACTACAAAAACCTCAGTTCTTGCCATCTACTCACGAGGAGCAGCTGTCCAGAATACGCATGGACGATCTTACGGTCTCTCTCCGGAGAGATTTCGCCAGCCCAGATCCCACATTCGGCCACTGATTTCAGCCATAATGTTGTCCCCGCTCCTTCAGGGATATCAGTTCGCCATGTCCTCACTGGAAGCCTCTCGGTTCCACTTAATTTACTTAATATTTGCTTATGTCTCCTCCCACACAAGTTCCCAGGGTGGCATTCAGTTAAAAGTTAAAAGAACAAAAGACTACAATAAAACATGAACACAGAAATGGAAGCAACTGTTAGAGAGTAAGGATGCTGAATCCTGAAACAAATAAAATCTAGTGTTCAGTGCTTGAAATGTCTGGAAGTACTTTTTAAAAAACACCTTTGTCCCAAACACCAATGCACACAACAAGTAAAATCTGTTGGTTGGGCATTCCTAACGCAAAATGCCACAAATGAAAGGCCTTTGATTTAAGTTTGATTGGCCTCTTATGGTACCCAACAGGATTATCTTGAAATGCACAATGGAAAAAAGGGCAGGGCTTCAGTCACATGCTATGCCCCCTCCTCCCCCATGCTCTTTGTATACCACTATACAAATCTGTATATTTAGACTGTCCTATTGTAGTTAATGGAAATAGTAGATTGGCTGAGAGTTATAATATTTCTGATGGTCTGCAGTGCCTTATCAATAGTTTCAATTGATCAACAGCTTGAAGAATTGAATTGCCATTTTTTCTATTATTGGAGTATAATTACCATATTTATTGGAGTCTAACACGCACTTTTTTCCTTAAAATTTGGGGCTGAAATCCTAGCTGCATGTTATATGCCAATACTCAAGTGGCAGGGCTGGGAGAGAGGAGACTTCATTTGAGCCAGGGCTGAAACTGGGGCAGCTCCGCAGAGCAGGACGTGAGCGGCGGGCGAGTGAGTGAAAACCGGTGCTCCCCATCGCTCACGCGAGTGCCTGAGCTCTGCAGAGCAGGAGGTGAGCGGTGGGCGAGTGAGCTCAGGTCCCCGCGTGGGCGAAGGGGGGGAACGGTTTTCACTCAATTCCCCGCCCC